CTATTATTTACTTGAATTTAGTACTAAGTACAACTATGCCTAGCAAATTGTAATACTTACTCTGTTAATGTTTTTTCCTTCATATAAAAAATAGTAAACTCCACAAATAAAATATTTCGCAGCCACAACGCAACAATAAAAGATAACAGCTCAAAGATCCATACAAGAAATAATTACATTCGCACCTACTCTGGTCCGAATCCATATAAGTACTAAAATGTAGAAAATAATATGAAATAAAACTTTTAGTTGGCTGCAAATATTATAAATTTGTACAACCACTTGCCATCCTCCTTTTTTGTAAATATGTACATAATAATATGTAGAAGATAGAAAATAGAAATATTTTCAGAACAAAAAACCGGCGGCCGCAAATTGGAGTTTTTATTATTTTATTACCCTTCTCTTTTCATATGCAATTATGAGATAGCAAGAGAGTGGGATGGACGTATAGGCCGGACAACTCATTATCGTGCACGTGTGCGTGCACCTGGCATTTTCTCGTTTTAGGTGTGTTTTGCCGGAATTTGAATAAATGAAATAATCGTACTATTTTTACTATAAACGTATTTCCTATAGCGACATCTATATGAATATTGTAGTACTTTGTTAGATGAAACGGGACTTCAATTTCCGTTCTTAAGATATATTGCATTCATATACAAATTTTAACTTTTTAATCTTTAACCGATATAAAGATAATTGAGAAACATCCTTTTCAGAGTAATAATTTCAATACCCTGTGTCTCGGCAACCATCGTTAAATAAAAAAATATTTATGAACTAGATACCTCCACCATTTTTCCAAGAGGAAACTTACCTCCTTTCCAATTTTCTTGAAGTATAAAGGGGCACCCTGTATAATCTGTAAGCAATATTCACATATTTAGTGCTCTTAAAAACTTACTTGTACCAAATTTCATTGCACTACAATGTTTTTTGCAAAAAGTATGGTTTTGATTTTAAAAAATCATCTTTAACAGCCCGTTATCTTAAAAATAAAAGGTGATAGACTTCTGTTTCATAGGAGAAAATATTATAATTCTCTGATACTCTGTCTGCCCCTTAATGTAAGGTAAATTTTTCCAAAACACCCTATGTAGAACTTTTTATAAAATTTGTTAGTATTTGTTATAGTAGTACAAATAACATTTTTAGCGAAAAAAATGGCAAAAACATTTTAATTCATCCTGTAGTAATTTCATTGCAACATAATAATAATTAAATTTTTTATGTTGCAGACAAAACCTCCATCTGAATGTGTAAAATATAACTTAATTAACATAATAACAGCGTATGTTTTCACAGCCAGGTATTTCAACGGGGAACATTCTGATTTCGTCGAAGAAGCTGTGAGTTGTATCACATCACTTTCACTGGCTTTAAAAGTTGCTCAAAATTTTGTGGACTTTGAAACAGCCGTCAAATCTGTTGAACAAGAATGCATCAACGTAAGTTTTTTGTTAGAATGTAAAGTTGGAAATAATTGTGTACAATATGTCTCATGAGTAATTTACTTGCACAGTTTAAATCAGACTTCTGTGACTTTAGATTTACATAACTGACAAACTGACTGACAAATTCATTTTAAAACTGTAAAAAAAATGAAATAGTATTCTTTGAAGAAAATGAAAAAAAAAACAACAAAGAATAATCTTATCTATTTACTAGATATTAAGGTGTAATTTAATGCTGAACGGGATATACAGCCTACACAGAAGTTGTTTCTCACAATATCATTAGTTAAAAAGTTTATTGTATCCTGTATTATATGTTTCTCAAATTTATGTGATTATTAAACTTCAATTTAGCGGTATTAATTCCTGTTATTGGTAAATTAAAGAGTGTTGTTTTTTTTTATTTCAATGAAGTTAACAAAACATTAGAAATAATGTTGTAAAATTTGGCAAGATTTGAAATTTAATGTTTAATTTCGTTATTTATTTTCAGAGTAGTTGGATTGTTACCGATAAAGACAATTTCGAAACAATGAGAGACGACTTACATAAGATTCTGAGAGGCCCTTCAAAATGTGAGAATACATTTTACCTCATTTGTGCTTTGTGTGATGTCCGTAATTTGTTGACACAATCATTAAAACCTTCGCAAGGAAATAAAACTTCAAATTTCTCCAAAAAATTTTCAAAGGAACAGTTACCCTCCACCAAATTGGAAACTACTGATATCAAAAAATGGAGAAGAAAACTAGATTATTATTTATCTTATACCAAATTTTGTTATAACGGCGAAGTTTGAAAATAATTTATATATTTTTGTTAGAACCATAATAAAGGTATTTTTAAGCGAATTTTGGATTAATTTATCTTAAAAGGAGTTACACCACTTTAACGGCTTAAAAAATGCGTGTTTTTGACAATTTTTTTTTAATAGAGGGAAAGGTAATAGAAAAAAACTGTTGAAGTATGTTATTAGGCATGTATATAAATGTACAGAAAAAATTTTTCATTAAAAAATATTTCAAAATGGCGGCACTGGAGCCGTTCTCCTGAAGCATGTTGCCGTCGAGGCGTTCCGCGGCGCGCACTAGAACTAGTGCAAATTTCAAGCTGGAACAAAATAAAATTGCTATTCTACATGAGTAGAGAAACACGTACGGGATTGTAAAAATATAGTTTTTTTGTAAAATTGACAAGTATTTGGAGTAAAATTTTACATTTTTGACGAAAAAGGGGCAGTTATTTGTTTATAACAATTGTTTAAATTAACTTATCGAAAAATCCGTACGTATTTCTCTTCAAAATGTTTTAAATATGTGGTTAAAATGTCAAAAGAAAATATTGAAAATTGTTGGAGTTTTAGTGCATGCCGTTTTGAAAAAGCCTGTTTCGAGAAAAACGCGTTTAATGTTTTAAAATGAGTTTTAGACATGAAAAAATAAAAAATTTTACTGTTTAAAATTTTTTACCATCAATCTGCAATCCCAGGACCATGTATGTATGTCGGGAGATGGTGGAAAATTGCTTTTCCACCGTGGCGCCTAGGCCTTATTAGGCCTCTTGTACACCCCCCTTTCATTACTCGAGTACCTTTCTTCACACCATCCTATTACTACACGGGTGGCTTGGTGGCAAAGTCTCGTACAATTTTTTGATGTATGATAGCATGGTCTTGAGTTCAGTTCAGTGCGAACAGCAGAGCTGAGCGGACGTGCTTGTTTGTGAGGTGAAGTGATTGCAACGAGCAAAATCTACCTGCCTTTATTAAGGCTACCTGGAAAGAATCCCTTTCTTTCCTTTTAATCACCGACCTAATCCCCGGCTAAGGCTAGAACNGACACCACTTCTAAGCCAAGTATATCCATTTCATTTTCCCTAGCTGTAGCTGTGTAATCGAATTTTTTATCAGATTTCAATAATTTGCTATTTTGCCCGACGTAATTTAATTTAATAGCCCTTTCAGTGGTTAGACAATTCCTCTTTTTTGTGTGAATAATGCTCTGTGCGCCGAAGGATCGCTCTACGGCAGCTGATGTTGTTTGCATAGATAGTAATCGAACAGCTACTTTACTCACTATTGAAAGTTCCTTGCAATACCCACCCCAAAAAGTAATTAAGTCAATTTTTTGTGCTGCTTTGAGAATCACTTTCTGAAAATATACCCTGTTTTGAAAGAAACTGTCCTAGTTCTAAAATAATTGCATCATCACTATCATCACTTAGACCCATGGATTTTGCTGTGTCTTCGATGAAAGCCATGGATGCACATCGTTCTTCTTGCGTTAATAAAGAAATATGATCAGGATTTGGATTTAAAAGTTCGGCAGCATAATGAATCGGTTTTAGGGAGTAAGATTTTCTTTCATTAAATTGGTTCATACATATTTTAATATCATTTTCTTTTATTATATTCGGCAAATTATGCTGCAAATTTCTTTCGATGTCAGAAAACGCTGTGTAAACTAAATGTATGGTTGATTTATCCGATTCCAATTTGGTAATCCATGATGTAATTGGTTCCAAAATAGTTATAATATTACTTATTGAAAACTAGAACGTATCATCAAGTATAAGTCGTAGTGATTTTCCATTAAGTTTGGTGTTAACTTCTGAATCTATGGCAATTCTTTTGAGAATAGACTTACAATTCACCATACTTTTTAAACTTGCCATGTGTGACCCCCATCTTGTTGCTACAGGCAAGTGAAGCGATACGTTAATATTTAGTTCTTTTTTAAGATTATTAAAAGTTGCTACAAGAATGTGTGTTCTGGTTATTACTTTGATTATTTCTTTCACTTCAGCCATGACTGTTGTGTGCAAAACAGCCAAAGGATATTATATGTGGATATACTTCTAATTCTTTGGCTGCTTTTTGCATATTGCTGGCATTATCTGTAATTATGCATACAAATTTTTGTGGATTATATGTCTTTAATACATCTTCTAATAACTCCTTTATATATTGCGACATATGTTTATTTGTGGCAGTTTCTATACATTTTACAAAGACTGGTTCTAGCGTAGTAACGATAAAATTAATAATACCCTCATTTCTAATGTTGGTCCAACCGTCACACATTATACTCAAGTTTTGTGCTTCTGCTAGTTTACTTTCAACAAATTTATTTGTTTCTGTATATGCATTATCGAGCAATCGATGAGATAACTCGTATCTACTAGGATTTAATTTGAATGAAGGTCTTAATTCCTTAAAAAAAGTTTTCCAATTATCATCTACCATTCTCAAAGGGTATGCTATTGAAAATCATTTTACTCAATTTTGTCTCGAGTTTATCCTGAAAAAAAAATCCTGAAATCAATGTCTGATAACAAGGACAGTTAAGAGTCAATTCTTCAAATATTATCATTAAATAGATACATACCTGTTCTTTTTTGCTAATTTGATAAATAAACGAACACATGATATTTGAACTAGTTGTTTTGTAACTTTTGTCAATCATTTTTGGTTCTGCCCTGCTGCTGCTGCTGCAAGGAGAACTAGACATTGAAGGTGTCATATCACTCATGTCTGTCATATCTGTATCATTTTTTTTACACTCGTTCCAATAAAACTTTTGACATTGCAAGGACATTTTTTGCAGTTCAGTAAATGTTGATACATTCTAGTGGCATTCTTATAATATTTTGCTTCACAAAACTTACAAGTTACTTCGTTCTTTTCTAAGGTAAAATACCTCCATATATGAGTTTTATTTCTCATGTCAACAGATTAAGTTTAACACCAAGCACAGAATAACCGTTTGAAAACGTTTTTAAAAAATATTTCAAGGTTAGGTGTTAGGTTGACCAATAGAACTACCAATAGTACAAATCTTTTTAGAGAATAACATTTAGGGACTTATTACGGTTTGAAAAAAAGCGCCAAACAGCGAAAATTTCCGAAAGTTTCGGATATATTTCGGAAATTTTCAAAGGCCATGAAGTTTATTGCATTTTTAAAGTTTCCGATAATTTCCATTTTTTTCCGAAAATTTCGGAAACGTTTCGGAAAGTTTCCTTTAATTTATAAATTTCGGAAATTTAACAACACTAGTGGTAGATGCTCATTTAAGAACTGCAAATATTCAACAGCACCAAGTCGATGAGGTAAAACAAAAGGGCCGACAAGCACATTTCCTACAATTCCTGCCCAAATGTTTAAACTAAAATTATGTTGAAATGTTGTCAGATACTTCGTGAGGATTTTCAGGAGCCCAGGAATGAAGATTGTGCATATTGGTTAAACCATGTCTTTGAAAAGTTGCTTCATCT